GGGACCACACCTATGGAGCATATGACAAGGTTACAAGTCAAATCTGTGAAGTGTAGAACATAGATGTTTTGGCACAATAATCAAGTAAATGAGGTGAAAGCTATGTTCATTAGTTTAATGTAACCATGTCAGATTGTATAAAAAAAAATCTAAATCAGCACATTGTACCCCACATATGCATGAATGTATTCATGATCTATGTGTATTTGACTTAATAAAAAAAAAACACAAATGGCTAACATACATATGATAAAAAGTTCTATGTCACTAGTGATCAAGAAAATGCAAATTAAAACCACAATGTGCTGCCATCTTAATCCTATCAGAATGCTCATTACTGAAAAGTTAAAAAACAATAGATTCTGGTATAGACATAAGAAGGAATGCTTATACACTACTGATGGGAATCCAAATTAGTATAACATTTATAGAAAACAGTATGGAGATTCTTTAATAAACTAAAAGTAAACCCATTTGGTATAGCAATACCATTACTGGATATCTACCCCAAAGAAATGAAGTCATTAAATAAAAAAGACACATGCACTGGTATGTTTATTGCAGAACAATTCACAACTGCAAAGATATGGAATCTACCTAAATGCCCATCAACCAATCGATGTATAAAGAAACTATAAAAACACACACACACATACACACACACATACACAACTATGGAATACTACTCAGTCATAAAAAAACATGGAATAATGTTTTCTGCAGCAACTAGGATGAAACTGCAAGCCACTATCCTAAGTGAAGTATCTCAGGAATAGAAAAACAAACACCGTACAGTCTCACAAGTGGAAGTTGAAAGATGGATATGCATGGTCATACAGGATGATATAATAGATTTTGAAGACTAAGACTAAGGAGGGTGAGTGGGGTGATGAGGGATCAAAAATTACCTATCTGATACAATGTACTCTATTTGGGTGATGAGTACACTAAAAGTCCTTGACTTCACCACTATACAAAACCACCTTGAGATATCTCGTAACCTCAGTGAGAATAGCCCACATCACAAAATTTCAAAGCTGTAGATTTTGGCATGGATGTGGACAGAAGGGAACGCTTTTATACTGTTGGTGGGACTGCAAACTACTATAGTCTCTATAGAAAAAAGTATGAGCATCCTCAAAGACATAAAAGTAGACCTTCCATTTAATCCCACATTCCCATTACTAGTTATCTATCCAGAAGAAAAAAAATCATTTTATCATAAGGACATTTGCCCTCAAATGTTTGTTGCAACTCAATTCACAATTGCTAAGATGTGGAAACAACCCAGTGTCCATCAACTCACTAATGGATAAATAAACTGTGAGATATATATCCTGTGGAATACTCATTCGGCCATAAACAAAGATTGAGATTTCACATCTTTTGTGTTCAAAAAGGTAGGATTACAGATGTGAGCTACCGTGCTCACTGGCAACTGGATGGAGCTGAAGAACATTCTCCTTAGTAAAGTATCAGAAGAATGGAAAAACAAGCATCCAACGTACTAAACACTAATAGGAAATTAGTAGATGAACAATTACATGCCCACACAAGAGAAAAACAATTAAATTCAAGTGGGGGGAGGGAAGGGAAAAGAAGAGTGAAGGGAGGGCCATCAGGAAGCTCTCTTAATTGGTATAATGTAAGTTTAAACAGCACACTCCCTGGATGCAGTACTTAACTACAAATTGGATTCCACCTAACAAATGCAAACAATGTAAACTAATCATTTGTATCCTCATATTAATCTGAAATAATAATAAAACAATGAAATTAAAAAAAATATTTTTTAAATGGCAATTGCTTCAAAACAGGAAAATAAAATGAAATTTAAAAATTAGTGAATATTTTTTAAAAGACTGCATGAACAATCCATTAATTAAATGTCTTAATGACAATTTGTGGTATATTTTCAAATTTAATGCTAATTTAATTTCTTCTCTTTTCCCTGTCTCTGTCTCTCTCACCCGCATATATCCATACTGACATTCCTCTATATGAAAGAGACCAATACCTCTACAGTTTACAATGTTTAACAAAAATGCATTTTCACAGATCATAGCTAAGATTTAATGTTTTTCCTGTTCTTTTAAGTAAAGGACTATTAAAATTTTTTAAATAAAAACTTATACCAGGGCCTAAGTCTTTTCTTTGGAAGTGCTCTAAAGTAAAAAATACCATACACTATGCTGAAATGAGTATTTATTCTCTAACAAAAATGAAATCCATTTAAAAGAAATTATTTTCTTTTTGTGATATAACCACCTTAGTTTTAATCTTAATGATAGACAGAAAAAAATTAGTTTCTTACCTAATATATCAATATTTTTAAGCTTCTCTTTAGAGTTATCATTATTTGTGCTTTCAGGTACCTCATTTTCATTAGTTTTCTAGAAGAAAGAAAAAATATATTGAGAAAAATGTTTAAAGAGTCAACATTTTTCTTTTCTTCTTCTTCTTCTTTTTTTTTTTCCAGAGAGAGAATACTCTATTGCCCAGACTAGGGTAGCTAGCACCCAGCACACAGCCACCTCAAACTCCTGAGCTCAAGCAATGCTCCCGCCTCAGCCTCCCAAGTACCTGTGGCTACAGGTGTATGTGACCATACCTGGATAATTTTTCTATTTTTAGCAGAGATGGGGTCTTGCTTTGTTTAGGCTGGTCTCAAACTCCTGATTTCAAGTGATCCTCCCACTTAGACCTCCCAGATGCTAGGATTACAGATGTGAGCCACAGTGGCCAGCCCCCATTTTTCTTTTAATACATATGTACAATATAGTTTTCTCCCCCAAAATGACAGAAGACAAGGAGATGGATTTGTTGGGAAAAGCAATAAGAAAAGCACTCTTTTAAGGAACAGTATACCCTGGCTAGGAGTTGATGTGAGTATTTAAATGATAAATATATGAATGATAAATATTACAAGGCAAGTTACATAATATTGTAACTTCAGGATACCTTTTAGTTTCTAACTGAAATACATTTTGGTTTATGTCTTAAAAAATGATGTGTATAGAAAATTTCAAGAAGTATAAGGTAAAGTGATCATTGCTCTTTCTTTTTTTTTTTTTTTTTT